CTCTGACCCGTCTTTCGCAAACAACGATACCGCACCAAATGGTAGAACCTCTTTGATAGTGAAAGGACCGGACCACCTGGACTTGAGCTTTCCGGGAAATAGCTTGAGTCTAGAGTTGAACAGTAAGACTTGGTCTCCAGCCTTGAAGTCTTTCGGTGAAATCTTCTTGTCATGGAAAGCTTTTGTTCTTTCCTTATACACCTTTGAACTCTCATAAGCTTCCAGCCGTATTTCTTCGAGTTCGTGTAAGTCAACCGATCTCTTCTCTTGAGCTTCCTTGATATCCAGATTCAACAACTTGATAGCCTAGATGGCTTTATACTCAACCTCAACTGGAAGGTGACATGACTTCCCATACAGCATCTGAAATGGAGTCCTTCCTATTGGTGTCTTGTAATCCGATAAGCCCAAAGTGTATCGTCTAACTTGGTAGACCAATATCTTTGAAACACCAATAACCCTTGCAAGTATGGCTTTGATCTATCGGTTGGATACTTCTACTTGCCCGCTGGTCTGAGGATGATAAGGAGTAGCTACCTTGTGCTTCACACCATGCTTCTTTAACAAGCTCTCAAAGATCTTGTTGATGAAATGAGAGCCGCCATCACTGATCACTGCTTTAGGTACACCAAATCTGGGAAAAATGATGCTCTTGAACAGCTTCAAGACAACCTTATGATCATTAGTTGGAGAAGCAATGGCCTCAACCCATTTGGAGACGTAGTCCACAGCAACTAAGATATACTTATTCCCGTGAGAAGAAGGATTGAAAGGACCCATGAAGTCAATTCCCCAAACGTCAAAGACTTCAACTTCCAAGATCGGGTTCTGTGGTATTTCGTTCCTCCTAATTATATTTCCCATCCTCTGGCAGGGATCACATTTAGCAATGAATCCATGTGCATCTTTAAACATAGAAGGCCACCAAAGTCCAGCTTGTAGTACCTTCTGAACTGTTTTAAAAGTTGCAAAGTGTCCTCCATATGCAGAACCATGATAGTGTTCCAGCACTCCTTGAACTTCCTCTTCAGCAATACACCTTCTAAATAGACCGTCAGCTCCCTTCTTATACAAATAAGGTTCATCCCAGTAGTAGTGGTTGATGTCTCGAAAGAACTTCTTCTTCTGGTAAGCATCAAGACTCTTAGGAATCTCTCCGCAGATCAAGTAGTTTACAAAGTCAGCATACCATGGAAACTTCTCTTCTTCTACAGCCAATGCTTCTTCGAATTCATTCTTGGTGTATCCCAAGTCATAACACTTGATAGCTAACAGCTGCTCTTCCGGCATGGAGTCGTCAATAGGGATTTCATCTTCAATCCGCATTCTGGACAAGTGATCAGCTACTCCGTTCTCTATACCTTTCTTATCAACAATTTCCATATCAAACTTCTGAAGTAACAAAATCCATCTCAGCAGTCTAGGCTTGGTATCTTTCTTGGCATATATGTGCCTAAGTGCTGCATGATCAGTGTATACTATCACCTTGGAACCCACTACGTAGCTTCTGAACTTCTCGAAAGCAAAGACTACAGCCAACAACTCTTTCTCTATTGTAGCATACCTCCCTTGAGCATCATCTAAGGTTCTGCTTGCATAGTAGATAACATGGAGCTTTTTATCTATCTTCTGACCCAACACAGCTCCAACTGCATAGTCTGAAGCATCGCACATGATCTCAAAAGGATGATCCCTGTTCGGAGCTTGGACGATTGGAGCAGATACTAGAGCTTGTTTAATCTGGTGGAAAGCTTTCATACACTCTTCATTAAAGACGAATTCGGTCTCCTTGCTGAGAAGTCGGGTAAGTGGTCTAGCAATCTTTGAGAAGTCCTTGATGAATCTCCTGTAGAAACCAGCATGACCCAGAAAGCTTCTGATATCTTTGACGGTTTTTGGAGGCTGCAACTGTACCATAACGTCTATCTTGGCTTTATCAACCTCAATCCCTTTCTCTGATATCTTGTGTCCCAGTACTATACCCTCTTTGACAGTGAAGTGGCACTTCTCCCAGTTTAGCACTAGATTGGTCTCCTCGCACCTTGTCAGAACCCTGCATAGATTTAACAAACAAGAGGAGAAGGAGGAGCCATAGACTGAGAAATCGTCCATAAAGACTTCCACCGTCTCCTCAATTAAATCCGAGAATATTGAAGTCATACACCTCTGAAACGTAGATGGTGCATTACATAATCCAAAAGGCATTCTTCTATATGCAAAAGTTCCATAAGGGTAAGTAAAAGTGGTTTTCTCTTGATCATTAGGGTGAATTGGTATTTGAAAGAAACCACTATATCCATCAAGAAAGCAGTAGTATGGGTGATTAGAAAACCTTTCTAGCATTTGATCAATAAACGGTAAAGGAAAGTGATCTTTTCTAGATGCAGCATTTAGCTTTCTATAATCAATGCACATTCTATGTCCTGTTATAGTTCTAGTAGGAATCAATTCATCTTTATCATTCTTTATAACAGTCATTCCACCTTTCTTAGGTACACAGTGAACCGGAGATACCTAAGTGCTATCTCAAATAGGGTAGGTTACACCTGCTTCCAATAGTTTAAGTATCTCCTTCTTAACTACTTCTTTAAGATTAGGATTTAACCTTCTCTGTGGTTCAATGCTAGAGTAAGATTCATTTTCAAGATGGATCCTATGCATGCACAAACTAGGTGAGATCCCTTTAATATCAGACAGAGAATAACCAATTGCTCTCCTATACTTTCTAAGTTCATTCAACAGCAAATGCACCTCATCATCATTCAAATTAGCATTAATAATCACAGGGTAGGTAGAGTTTGTTCCGAGAAATGCGTACCTTAGACCTTGAGGAAGTGGTTTGAGATCAACCTTCGGAGTTTTGAGTTCAGACCAGTCGTCTGAGGTGGGTGAGGGTGTACTCGACGTGTCATCGAGCTTGCAGGTCGAGTCTGCTCCTTTGATTTCTTCAGGAATTGGACTGGGGAGGCCTACTCGACGTCTGGTCGAGTAGGTAGGTCGAGCAGGTTCTGAAACGTCCTCTTCCACTGCACTGACTTCTGCTACTGGCACAACTAGCTTTTCGAAGAATTCTGACCCTTCCTCTTCTTTATGCGAGTCTAAAAGCTTCATATAGCCCAAAGTTTCTAAGTGCAAATACCCTTCTTCTCCATCTTTGGTTATAGCACTCTGTAGATGATCTTCCTCAGAAAGCTCTTCAAGCAATTCATCGGCTAATCTATCCATCTCCTCGATCCAGAAGACTTGTCCGTCAATGGTAGGTTTCTTCATCGTCTTAGTGATATCGAATGTCATCTTGAAGTCTTCCCCGAGGTTCAAATCGATCTTTCCTCTTCTGACATCTATTAGAGCTCCAGCAGTAGCCAAGAAAGGTCTCCCTAGTATGAGAGGGTCCTTTGGCTCTTCATCCATTTCTAGAACAACGAAGTCTGTAGTGATTTCTACCCTTCCAATTCTTATAGGTAGATCTTCTAACATACCGTGAGGAACTCTTACGGATCTGTCGGCTAAGATTAGTTGGATATGACAGGACTTGTACTTGTTGAAACCGAGTCTTCTTGCTACTGAGAGTGGCATGAGACTAACTGAAGCTCCCAGATCACACAAACATTTGCTGAAGAACAACGGACCCAGTGAACAAGGCAAAGTGAATGAACCAGGATCTCCTAGCTTCTTCGGTATGATCTTCTTCTGTATGATAGCACTGCACTCATAACACAACATAACCATTCCATGTACTTCCTGAATTCTCTCCATTATCATGTCCTTCAAATACTTGTGAGAATCCGGTATCAGCATGAAAGCATCAGGGAGAGGCATCTTAACTTCTATCTCCTTGATATGTCTAGCAAACATTGCCCTGTAGTTCTCAATGATGTCCTTCTTGAACCTTCCAAGAAATGGTATCTTAGGTTTGTAGGGCGGTGGAACGAAAGCTTTCTTCTTACCCTTATCAACAACTGGTTTTTCAATCTCGGGACTCTTAGCTTGATCACTAGGTATAGCATCTTGGTCAAGCTTAGTGGTGTCATCTACTTGAGTTTCATTTTGAATCAAATCCTCCCCTTCTTGAATCTCACTGTCCTCAGTGACAGGAGCTATGGTAGGTCGAGCTTGCATCTCTCGACCACTTCGGAGTTGAATTGCATTAGCATATTCTTTCGGGTTTTGAATCGCTTTCCCGGGTAGCTGTCCGGGATTCTTAGGGGCCGAAGTAGAAGCTGCTTGGCTCTCCATGTACTTCATCTTGGAGTTTAGGGCCTTAAACTTGTTATTGATATCATTGTAGGAGCAGTCTACTTTATTGTGAATCTCAGCCCTTTTCTTATCAAGAACCATAGCACCAGCTGCTTGACCTTGTAGAAGCTGCTGAAGCATTTGTTTCATGTCTTGATCTTGTGCAGGTTGAGCTTGCTGGGGTTGCTGTGCAAAACCGGGTGGTGGATTCTGTTGTTGATAACCTCCTCCACTGAACTGCTGCTTTGGGACAAAGACTTGATTGTATGGTACAAAAGGCTTGGACTGGTTCTGTTGTTGTTGAGGGTAAACCTGATCTTGAGGGTTGGCGACATTCGTGCTCCGGTAAGATAGATTCGGATGAGCAGACTTGTAGGGGTTGTAGCCCTTGTTGTAACCACCTTGGTTCTGTATGTAGCTGACTTCCTCAGCTTGAGTACTCTCCCCTTCTTGAAGTTGATAATGCTCTTCTTCAGTGATATAGTGGACTTGTTTCTGTTGAGTAAGCAGAATCTTATCGAGCTTATCGTTGAGAGCCTTGATCTCCTTACTATGCTTTGCATCCGAATCTCCAATACCTCTGTTGGAGCGATCAAAATCTTCGTTATAATTACCGTCGGACTGAGCTAATTAAGTTCTCAACCAATTCCCATCCTTCTTCAACATCTTTATTCAAGAAATTCCCATTAGAAGCAGTATCCAGCAGCATTCTGATCTTGGGCAGAGCTCCTCTATAGAGTGTACTGAGCAAAGAAGCTTTCTTGAAACCATGGTGTGGACACTGTGTAGTGTAGCCCTTGAATCTCTCCCAGGCCTCACAAAAGGATTCAGACTGCTTCTAGGTAAAACTGGAGATTTCATTCCTTAGCCTTGCAGTTCGTGAATTTGAGAAGAACTTTGCTAAGAAGGCCTTCTTGCAATCATCCCAAGATGTAATGGAGTCTGGAGGTAGTGTTTTCTCCCATTGGTGTGCTTTGTCTCCCAGAGAGAAGGGAAACAGACACGGCTTGAAACCGTCTTTACTAACACCATTTATCTTGGTTAGGCTGCAGAGCCTGTCAAAGTTATCCAAGTGGTCTAAGGGATCCTCCATAGGCAACCCATGAAACTTGTTTCCTTGTATCATTGAGATCAATCCACTCTTGATCTCGAAACTGTTGTTCTGGACAGGAGGTGGAACTATACCCTGTCTCGGTTGGTGGTTTCTTGGTGCATCTCCAGCACCTATATTCCTTGGTATCCCAACTCCCTGATCGTCTTGATCTTGTGGTTCCATGGCAACTGGATTGTGCGGTTCACAATCGTCGCTGGCTCTACGTTCTCTCAACTCACGAGCTAACCGATCGATGTTGTCTTTGTAGCTGATGAGGTTGCTGGAGCCTTTGGATCGAGTGTGCATACACAGTGACTAGTCTGGACGTCTGAACTCGAGGTCAGGTCGAGTAGAGTACCTGGATCACAAAAACAAGCAGATGAAATGAAGAGTTAGTAACCAAATTAAAGAGAAAGAACTTGATCTTAAACGTTTCTGAAATCTCAAATAGAACAATGCAACTCAAGACTGGCAACGGCGCCAAATTGATAGTAGGATTTTACTCTATTCAAGTATCAATTCCTAATACACATGTCATTGTAGTATATTAGGTTATCAATCCAATCTCAGTGTGATTGCAAGCATTCAAGATATGCACAGAAAGCAAGTAAGTCAAGCCAATTGCGAAAAGGTTTTGTGTGTTTCTATTTATCCTAATCAACCAATTAACATGCAAATACCAAATTCAAAGGCATTAGAAAGAGAACTAAATAGCAAGTAATGAACTACAGACCAGGAACTATCATGCACAACTTTAGAAAAGAAACTAACAACCTAACAATGCAGTGAACTCTGCTAGGCCTAACAAGTCGAGCAAGCAGGTCGAGTAGAGTAACAATGACAGACAGAAACGAGATTTAAACAATCAAACAATCTTAAGAATGGGGTTATTGGTTATAATTGATTACTCAATCCCTTTAACTAGCTAACAAACTCAATCAAGCTATCCCTAAACAATAGATTCAAAGGCAACTCAATCCACTCTCATGACAGAGATCCTCAAGCTAAGTCACTTTTAAACTCAATTCTCATTGATGAAATATAACCTAGCAGGCATTAAGATTCAATCTAATATAGTCAATAAACATTCTAAACATCCAATCTCTTGGGCTAGAGTATGTAAATCTCTGGAATAGTTGGTTCAGACATTTCATCGAACACCTTGTGGGCATGGAAATGTCTGAGATCAACTTCCAATTGATCAGAGAGGAAATAACAATAAGAACTACTAAACCATAAGGGAATTCATGCAATACTATACTTAGCTAGCTAAAGAAACAGAGGATTCCACTAACAACCTATCCCATCCTTAAGAACTTTGCAGAACTACTCAAGAACACTCAAGAACACCATAGCTAAAAACCCAGAAAATACTTCAAACCCAGAATTCATTGTAAATCAAGTATGTTATATATTAGAAGGCGATCTACAACTTTGATGAAGAAACGAAATGCAAAAACTCAAGGATTCAACAGGAAAAACGATTACAAAATCTAGGGTTTAGAGAGAACAGCGGAAAAACCAGTGGGTAAAAGGGAATATCCGCTGGATAAAAGGGTGAACCCCTATTTATAGAAAATACTAGGTTGCCCTAATTGGCTGCAAGACAAAATAGAAAGGCGGCTAACCACCTACTCGACTTCACGTCGAGTCCAACACGTCTTTTTCACACGATCACCTGCTCGACCTGACATCGAGTTCACCACGTCGAGCTCACCATGTCTTCTTCACACGATCACCTGCTCGACCTGACATCGAGTTTGTGGCATCAAGCATGGCTCCGGACTTCCTTGAGTGACTTCTTTCCCTCTACTAGGCCTCAAGTCGAGTTCTATCATCGAGCTAGCTCCTCTTCGTTCTTTTAAGCACTAAATAAGCTCCAAAGTACTTGAAACACATCAAATATGCAATATGCTGTGCGATGCAATGCAAATCGAGCTAAGTGATGAAAATGATATGAAAAGGACTATGGATGCAATGAAACAGAGATGAAACTAAGCTAAATGCATGATAAATGCACGCTTAAAAGAGGTTAAATACAGAGACATCAACGTTCCAAAAAGCTCACATCCAATCTGCTGCTTTCAGTTTTAACAAAAGCCTAAGAAAAAATGAAGATATGGCCAAACAGAAACCAAACAATCCAAAACCACCAAAAGTTAGAATTACAAAAAAGAACCGAACGAAAAAAACGTATATCGTCCCATGGATATGACAACTAAAAATCCTAGAAACCATATGTAACAATTGAAATTAGAACCTACGTTTTCTATACCGTGTAAATGCCAGAATCGAGGCCTAGAGAAGTATGGGGATATTTATATACATTTATATGTAAATATGTTATTTGTGTGGTTTGAAACTCGCTTAACTTGATTATAAATACAATTTCTTGTTTTGTGTATTCTCCTGATCTAGTACTCCAACCACATCGTGATAGACTCATTATTAAATATTGGATAAACATAAATTAGACCAGATCACAAGAGTTTCATTTGAAAGTTAGAAAAAATTCATATATATGAAAGTTGGCCAACTCTCTCCATATATGTGCCACATCATCACAAAAAAAAATGACATGTGTCATTCTATATTATTTAAATAAAAAATTAGCCAAATTAAATGAAACAAAATAAAAAGTTCTTGATTGCATTAAATCCTCACATCACAATTAAGTCAACACTTTTAAAAGTTTTTGATTGTCATTTAAGTCAACACTTTTAGATCTTGTACCATTGCATATAGCTATATAGGAGATATAGTCATGCCACAAAAATAAAAAGAGAGAAAGTCATATGATAAGTCATGTATGAACAACAAAACGTAATAATGAGAAAGACTCAAATTAAAATTACTAAACTAATAAAAGGTTAGGTAGCAAACAACTAAACTACAACAAAAATAAAATTTTAGTCGTTATCAAGTGGTGACCATTGATAAAAATTTCTTTAGTAAAATAAGAAGAGTATAATAAAATTAGTGTTTTTTTTTATTAACATAATTTTGTATTTTTTTTTTTTTTTTTGAATAAATCATTTAAGTGTAGAATTGATGGAGGATTTAATGCAATAAAGAACTTTTATTTTTTCTCATTTAATTTGGTTAATTTATTTAACTATTGTAGAATGACACATGTCATTTTCTTGTGTGATGATGTGGCACTCATATGGAGAGAGTTGGCCAACTTTCATATATCTAGAGGAGTTTACAGTAATCAATGTTTATTCATTTACAGTAATCAATATGCTTCCCGAGTCCACGTCGATTTCTCGAATCAGACCAACCTTCTTCCCCACAGCCGTTAATGTTACTTCTTCCGATAAATGCATAGGAAGACCATAAACTTTCACCCAGAAATTGATAGCTGAGGGATAAGTACTTGATATAATAGGCTCGTAGCGCACCAAGGCTACCATCCACCCATCAAAATGATAAGGTGCGTTAAGAAAAACGCCCTGCAAGTCCTCCTCGGAGTGAAAATTGAACTGAAAAATGTCTTTTCCCAGATCAGCACCGATTACCTTGTCCTCCATTTTCCAAATTTTTGGCATGTTCGCCACTAGAGAATCCATCCTTTGGATACTATGATTGATCAATCTTCCAATCAGAGTGAGTGAGAATTGTTGAATCCTTTGTGACAATAGAGAACCAGAGATTTTCACCGTCTCGGTACGAACCATCGCAGCCTTACCCTTATTCATAGCCAACTGAGCCATATTCACCAACAACAACCCAAACAGAAGCACCCAATGAAAAGAGAACGAAAGGAAATTAAAAGCTTGCTGAGAACACCCTCTTTTTGATGATTTTAGAAAAGCGATGATAAGAAGATTGAACCTTGTCTTCTTAATATATATACATCCCAAAGAATCAATCAAAAATCCTCTTAGACACTGGCACCATAAAGAGCAAATCATGAAACCTTCCTTAAAAATCAACACCTTTGATTTTCTAAATCCAGTCTTTATGAAAGACAGAAAGAAAACTGTAACTTTTCTGTGATTCTCTCCTACAAACTTTCCTTTAGCTGATACTAGGAATATCACGATCCAAGATATCACTACAAAGCCTTCCTCGTTCAAGATCGAATCCCAATCAGCGAATTTGCAGAGACGTAGATTCCAGCGAATCCCCCAAAATCGGATCCCTCGATCTTTACCATTAGCCCGCCGGATTCTCTCTTTACCTTGAAACAACCAGATTCGGAGTTTCCTTTCCGCAGGAGTGATAGCCATCACATCCGATCTGTTATTACAATGAATCTCATCTGAAATTGAGATGATTTCTTTTACCATGAGAACCCAGATTAGAACAAAACCAGAAATCCATTCACTAGCCAAAGACCCAACACAAATCCCCACGAAAGGAGAAAAGCTCCATCTCAAAATTTAGACATGGCCGCCGTCGCCATCTCAGAGAGAAAAAGTCGTAGGTTTTTTTTTCTTTTCTTTTCTCTCTGTTTCCCAATTCTCAACGAGAATTTCGTATTGATACGATTATAAAAATAAATAGGTTGACTAATTTTATTATGACTATATAAAATAAATAGGTTGACTAATTGTATTATGACTATATAAAATAAATAGGTTGACTCTAGAATATGGGTACATATTTTTATTACGATTATACATGACTTTAAAACTTAATTGTATAATTACAGATGTTTAATTAAAATAGTAATAACAAGCTGATCAACGTTATGTCTATACATTAATTTGTACTTTATTAATACAATTATCAATAAAATCTAATGGACGAAGGCTCTATAACATTATAAC